TTAATGAAGGCCGACGAAAGGTGATTAACTGTAACAGAAACAAACATGTCCTCACAAAAGTACATAAACATTGTTTAGATCATTTCTCTGGCTTTTTTTGTTTCTTTAGGACGTTCAGATGCATGATGGGAAACAGTTGTTCAGCACCTGGCAGGCTCCCGATCCAATAAGGGAACGAATAGATTAGATCCAAGACTCACCCCGCCTCAGGTTCTCCTGAACTGAGAAGCTCAGAGCTGGAAATGAGATTTTCATTCACAGCCCAAATCCAGTGGGAACACGACTCCATAACCTCACAGAGGCAGCCACGGAGCAAAGCGGGCATGGAGCGCTGGAGTGGAGGGGACGTGTGTGTCTGGATCCCAGCAGCCAGCTGGGATTATGCTGATCAGGACACTATCCACCTTGTTAGCGTCTTCCTCTGAGTCACCTTGTTTCACACTCCTTTTTGCTTGTGTGTGTGGTTTTAAAAAGCACGCACGCACGCACGCACGCACACACACACACACACACACACACAGCCTGCAAATTCCCTGAGACAAGAGCACACCTGCACGGCGTGACGCATGCTGTGTGCTGTAATTCCTGCGTGTCCATGCTGCGAGGAATAATTACACCGCTCACTGACTCCTCCGTCTATTCCAATCCGACTCCGTCCTCTTTCCTGCGCTACAGCTCTCACATCACTCCTGGATCACAAATGTCTGACTCATCCGTCATTCCCAGCACTTCATCTCCCATCCTGCCTCCTCCGTCTCTCTCGTGTTCCGGCCGACTTTAGCGCAGAACTCCTTCCTGCCGCAGCTCCATGTTGCTACATATACATAGTGTTGATGATTTATTCATTACGCCATTTGTCACATAAAATCATCAGTGAGTCTAAAGATGGGTTCATTGTGTTAATTATTCATAAAGTGGAAAAGAGTCAATTGTCTCAGTGATGCGTGCTGGCAGCTTTTCTAGAGCTGCTCTTAGACAGCTGCTCAGACAAAACATAGACATCAGACCCAAAGGAGTTAAGCTTCTGGAGTGACGGTGGCACAGGAGTTAAGTGCTCGCCCCCGTAATCGGAAGGTTGCAGGTTCGAGCCTCGCTCAGTGTGTCGCTGTCATTGTGCCCTTGGGCAGGACACTTAACCCACGTTGCCTGCTGGTGGTGGTCGGAGGGACCGGTGGCGCCAGTGCTCGGCAGCCTCGCCTCTGTCAGTGCGCCCCAGGGCAGCTGTGGCTACATCGTAGCTCATCACCACCAGTGTGTGAATGTGTGTGTGAATGGGTGAATGACTGATTGTGTTGTAAAGCGCCTTGGGGGGTTCCAGGACTCTAGAAGGCGCTATATTAAATACAGGCCATTTACCATTTCTGGGTGAATTTCTCATTTCCCTCACACAGCACTTCAAATCAGATCTGGTTTCACTAAGAGGATGTAGTTCGACTCTCAGCTACTACCACAGCACGTAGTTCAGGACCTGACACACGGACAGACCAAGGACCGTTCCTGTTTATTCGTCTTTGATGGCCATCTAAAGTAAATAATATCTATCCAGCTATTTTCTGATAAACCAACCGAAGAACAAACTCATAGACAAACAGGTGAATGTCTCTGTGAATATTCAGTCAGACACACCTGAAAAAAACTAAAAAGTGAGGACATGTTGGTGTCTTGCTGACCTGCCTGGGTCACTGAAAAATCATTGCAGAGTTATTTTTTCATTCATTTAAGTTTTTTGTTGGTTTAAACTTGCTTATTTTGATTTTGATAATTCACATTTAAATATTTGGAAAAACAGTTTTTTTAAATGTTTCTTAAAAACATTCTAACTTACTATAACTACAAATGTATTGTCAAGATTAAAAAAAATACTTCCCTGGGTCCTCCTCCCGTTAGACACTCACGTATTTAATGACAGAAAACCACAGATGTGAGAGGCTCTCTACTCAGTAATATCAGAGAAGGAGAAACAGCCGGCTGCTACCACTTTAACTTTAGGACAAACTACCAGAGTCCCAAAAAGAAAAACACCATCTGAAGTCACCGACAACAAAAGACGTTTGGATGTAGAAAACGGCAACTGGTGTTTAGCACCATCTCGTTTTCTTTGACGATGTGGGCTTGCCTCAGCTTGGAGAAACAAAGGTCAGTTCCAGTTGGAGAGGTAAGCCTACAACAACACCAAGATGAAATGTGTCCTAAAACTTCCACTTTGCATGGCAGTTTAGTCATAAGCTATTTTAGATTCTCCTCATTGCCTAAATTTGCAATAAACACACACACACACACACACACACACACACACACACACACACACACACACACACACACACACACACACACACACACACACACACACACACACACACACACACACACACACCTAAAGCATTATTATGAACACCTTACTAATACGGTGTTTGACCGCCTTTCTCCTTCAGAGTTGCCTTAATTCTATGTGGCATTGATTCAACAAGGTGATGAAATTTAATTCAAGTTTATTTACATAGCGCCTAATCACGACAAGAGTCGTCTCAAGGCACTTCACATAATAAACATTCCAATTCAGGTCAGTTCATTAAGCCAATCAGAAAAAGGTTTCCTATATAACAAGTGTCAGTGACTTGATGCAATCCTCATACTAAGCAAGCATTTAGTGACAGTGGAGAAGAAAACTCCCTTTTAACAGGAAGAAACCTCCAGAGGATCCTGGCTCAGTATAAGCAGCCATCCTCCACGACTCACTGGGGATCGAGAAGACAGAGCAGGAGCGCGCGCACACACACACACACACACACACACACACACACACACACACACACACACACACACACACACACACACACACACACAGCATTCTTTAGAAATGTTGGCCCATATTAATAAGATAGCATCTTGCATTTGATGGAGATGTGTGGGATGCACATCCAGGGCACGAAGCTCCCCTTCCACCACATCCCAAAGATGCTCTATAGGGCTGAGATTTGGTGACTGTGGGGGCCGTTGTAGTACAGTGAACCCATTGTCATGTTCAAGAAATCAGTTTGAAATGATTGGAGCTTTATGACATGGTGCATTATCCTGCTGGAAGTAGCCATCAGAGGTTGGGTACATGGTGATCATGAAGGGATGGACATGGTTAGAAACAGTGCTCAGGTAGCCCGTGGCATTTAAACCATGCCCAATTGGCACCAAGAGGCCTAAAGTGTGCCAAGACCCCCCCCCCCCCCCCCCATACCATGACACCACCACCACCACCAGCCTGCACAGTGGTAACAAGGCATGATGGATCCATGTTCTCATTCTGTTTATGACAATTAACTAAAATAGGTAAAATATTTTACAACAACAGCACCTTGTAGCAGGTCTCAGTTGCTCATTTGCTCAATCAGAACCAATCTCTGTTTTTTCATACTGAGTCTGTTCCTGTTTCCACCAGATAGATTATCTCAGCCGTCCCTTTCTAAATAATCTAATAAGGCAGCACCAGGTAACGATGCTGTTTCTATTCAGACCTCATTTCACTGCATATCTAATCAGTCTCTGCTAATTTGGTGAAATAACTGACAAGATGAGACAGATCAATTAAAATATAATGAAAACAATTAAAATGCCTAGCTCTGGTCAGATCCATAAAGATGCAGCTTTTCTTTCCACTTCTGCTCTTTGGGAAAAGCTGTTAACTTTTATTACAGAAAATTACAGAATCCCATCTTTGAAAGAGCACCAAGTGTTAGTCGTCTCGTTTCTTAGCTCGGACAAAAGTGTGACCTTTCCTTCCAGGAAAACAGTTTAAAATAACTCCTGTTTTCTGTGTGTTTGTGCATCAAAGCAGCTGGGTGAGAGAGCATCACTGAGGGGTCTGTCTCTGCCACAGCCAGAGTTCTGCTGCAGTGCATCCACAGAAAAAGGCCCAGCGTCAGCAGCAGGGAGATTATTGACACTGACTCCAACAGGATAGACGGCGTTCCATGTTTTCTCCGTGTCATAAATCCCTCTGATTCCTCGGCCTAACCTGTGCTGTGTGTTCCAGACACAGCCTCAGACCAAAACAGCCGTTGTAATCCTCTCCCCCTAAACCCCGCTGGAATGGATAACAACAAGACACAATCGTGCCGAAAGCTTGAAAAAGTGCACACTTGGCCCGTCTGCTGCTCCGCTGAGGCCTGTGGAAATGTTTAAAGAGGCTTCAGGAGTTTTCTGAAAAAAAAAAAAAACTCTTGTGTGGATGATGTGGAAATCCAGCCTAGCTTTAGATCAGATCAGATGACTTGTCCTCTGAGGTTAGATTTCTCTCTGGGGCTGCAGAACAATAAGAAAACACTAACCCGGTGAAACAACAACGAAGCTGAAAGCCTGAAAAATGCTGGTCCTTTGCTTTTGTTGGATTAATCAGCCCCTGATGACTTTTATCAAACTTGTAACATAAAAAGTAGAATCAATAACCAGCTGCTTAGGAAATGTAGGTGAGGATGACTCCAGCTCCGCCATTCCGGAACTGCGCTGCTCTGGGTGGCTGCATGTTGGAGTAGCTCTGTTGACCATATCTTAGAGGATTTTTACTGCAAGTTTTTCACTTTTTGAGCATTTGTTATGATGTGTAACCATGGTAACAAGCTGGTTTACCATTGGGAGAAGCTGATTAACATTGGAAAGGTTGAAATAATACCTCAACTGAAGCCACAAATCCCAAATGAGCTAAAACGCAAGAAGCGTGGATGCAGAGCGGGAGCAAAACGGAGACAGAGAAAGTGGAATTTCAAACCATCTCTTCCATTGATCATAATGGGCAATGATAAATCAGGTGCTGGTCAGCATCAGAAGCAGGGACCTGAAAAGGCTCAACAGCCTAATAAAAAAGGCTGGTTCTGTTCTGGGGACTTCCCAGAAGGGGATTATTCTGAGCTTCTACAGCAATCAATTTCCCTCTGGGATTAATAAAGTATTTTTGAATTGAATTGAATTGAAAAGAAAGGAAATGTGAGCGTGAGACTGGTCTCTGACTGTACCGTTGAGCCATTTGGAGTTGTACTGGGCGGTTCTTAGTGGGGGCATGCCGCCGAGGCTTCGGTATATGACGGGGTCACGGCCTGAGAAGTCAATGACAGTGGCGGCGTACAGCTCTCCGCTCTCTGTCACCACGGCTGTGGAGTTGTGCCGAGGGTCGTATGGACAGCGCGCCACTCCGTTCACACGCTCCAGCACTCTGGTCATGTTTCCCACCTGAAAAAAGGTTCAGAATTCTCAAAAAAGGATGTAAAAACGTGCTGAGTGCATGAGTTTTATGTTTGCAAAGACAACAATACCTCTCTGGTGATACACAGTGGCTGAAAAGCATTGGTGCCACAGGTCATGACCTCAGTCTTGTTCACCAGCAGGACCCTGACATAGTTCTGACATTCAGTCTGCAACATAAAGGGAGAAAAATTAAGTTTTACAGAAATGATGGCAGGGCAACAGCTCCTAAGTATTTTCCTGTCCGAGGCTTCTTTCACCCCGGAGTCCATTGTTCAGGAATATGAATACTAGTTTCTCACAAAATGGAGGCGATTAATGACACGGACAAAGGCGCTCTACAGTAACTCAAGAGCGCGTTTCAGCACAAAGACTCTAATCTTTTACAACAAAAGTAAGACATTGATTTATCGGGCCTTGCCGCTGAGAACCGAGGTAATTGCAGCAAAGCAGGATTCAAAGAAAACTGTTTTGTGAATTTGGCTTCGGTTGCCATGTGGCAAGAAATGAAGACGTTGCATAGAGTTCTGGCAAAAGTTCAAATAGGAGAACGGATCCCAGCGGCTGCTCTCCTGTTGGAGGAGACGTTCCACACGCTGTGCTTCACTTCTGCGTGGGACAGCAGAAGTTCAGGAGGGCCGTTCAGTAATCAGATGGTTGCAGGTTCAATCCCAACTCCGACCAGAGAATGCTGCTGTGTGCTGCGGTGGAGCCGGTGTTCGGACGGCCTCGCCTCTGTTGGTGGCTCATTCCCATCAGTGAGTGAATGTGTGTGTGAATGACTGATTGTGTTGTGAAGCGCCTTGGGGGGGGGGTTGTAGAGCCCTAAGAAGGCACTATACACATACAGGTAATTTACCATTCCCGTGATGTTCTTGTATCAGGCATAAAAAAGATCCCCCCCCAAACATACACACACATACACACACCAGGGACGTTTAGCTAGAGGATATCAGGGCAGCCTGACTGTAAGCCCGGCCGTGCTGACATGAAAAGCTGTAATTGGGGGCGTGATTGAGGTTACCTCTGTTTTGCCTTTGCTCTGACATGACTTCCTGGTCTCCTCATCCGGTGCCCACTCCGTTGCCTAGGAGATGAACACAAGATGACAAAAGGGATGACAAAGAGGCCAAAAAGCAGTCAGCCGAGTTCCCAAAAACACTTGAGGAGAGGTTACGCAACAACAAACTGCTACTACTACTGAAGGCCCTCTCTGAAAAGATGCTCGAACCTCTCTACTGTTTGTTTATTGTGTAAACATGCAGCAAAAACAAGGAGAGGAATGGGTGAGGCACGCAGCCTGGCTGCTGAGGGGCAGAGGACAGAATTAGCATGTAGATGTCTCTCTTCATCTTCCTCTTTCTCAGAGTTTGCAAAACTCACCTCACCTTCCCTCCACCACCAAGACTGCTACGAGCCAATTATATTACTGTTGATGGTTACAGTATGTCTTGGGCTTAATTATGGATGCAGGGAAGCAACAGCTGCAGAGCAAACACACTAATGTATACACACAGGCTGCTTGGCCACCAGCGCTGCACTGGCTCCTGATGAGATGCTCCTCGTTTGGCACAAACTGTAAACGAGCAGGTGCCAAAGGACCCCTCACCATGGGTCAGTGGCTTCAGTTCATGCATCCTTTACCCAGGGTCCTCAGCTTCCTGAATAGGAAGGTGAAAAGGTCTCAACGTAATAATTTCTTCTTTAAATTGATTCTTATTATTTAGATCTTATCAGCTGCCTTCGTTATGTGTTGGTTGTGACTCGGTATTGAATAAAATCTACAAAAATGTGGCAATGTAACTATACATGTAATTAAAACAGGTTCATAAACACCAAACGTCAGAGTTAAAGCCTGCATAAATTAAAGACCTTGCATTCCACGATCAAATAAATATCACCCAGTGCTTTCTGTGTCCAAACAAAATTCATCGGAGGAGAAAAGATGGGGTTATCGCCATTTGGGTAAAGGTTTAACTAAACTACAGCCATTTGTTTGTTAAGCTGCAATTCCAAAATGTTAATTAATCTTCCTGGAGCAGTGTGTTTCACTTCAGTCCTAACAAGGTAATCCATCACTCAGTGGATTACAATCACAGGTTCTGTGAGCAACGACCAATGAGATGACAGAAGTCTCTATGACAACCATAGGTCCAAATGTGTTTTATGGGAACATTTCTTGTTTTTATAGTTTTCCAAGTTCATCTGACCCAATGAAAAGCGGAAAAAAACGTGATTTGTTTCTTTTTCCCAGATGACAGTTGTGTCACTGGACGGGGTGCTCAGAGCTACACTGTGAAATCGGATTAGCCCCACTTACCTGAAATAAGCAAGCAAAACAATAAGTACATGGCACTAAGTAACGATGTGCTGGAGCTACTAATACTTGCAAAGTACACTGTAAAAACTGATATTTTTGGAACGCTAAATATCACCAAATAAAACCATCTAAAATGTAACTAAATATATTAGTTAAAGACTGAAATAAAGAAAAATGATTTCATTCCGATCGAAATACCTTTTTTTTAATTGAACCTAATTGTAATGATTATTCAATTCAATTAAATTCAAAAATACTTTTTTAATCCCAGAGGGAAATTCAATGTTTAAGTACACACAATTCCAAGATCAGACATACATCCATAGACACATGACAAGAATTGGTGACTGTGGTCATTCGCAACGTGAGTCGCGCTACCGTTATAGATCAAGAGGGTTTATATGAGGTTGGAGTCAGGGGTAAGGGGAACAAAAGGCACTTCAGAGTTACCCCCGACAGAGAGGATAGCTTTGCTGTGCAAAAACACCACCTCAGACAGATATGCACACAGAATTCAGACGATACACAACACAAGTGTCCACTGGGTGGGGATGGAAGGTTCTGAGACTCTCCTCACTTCAGTGCGTGCAGCCGCAGAGCAGCGCTCTTCACCTCCGTTTGGACAGGGGAGGGAGATAATGGGTTGGAGGGCACATTGAGTCCCAGATACGGTTCCACAGCCTTCACCGGTCACAGTCCCGCCCAGGCTGGGATAGGGAGAAAGGGTTTCCATAGCAACGGCAGCATTCCACATTTCTTCTGAGGGGAGAGTTTTCACTTCAGCCTCACAGGCTCCAAGGGCACCAGATTCAGATAACAAGAATTGTTTTGGGTACAGACAGAGATAATTTCCTCTCTGCCTTAAAGTTCTATTGGTCTTCAACCCATCCAGGTCCAATAGTGGCATTATTAATCTATTCCGATCCGTGCTGATCCGTCAACTCTCTCCTTGATCGAATCCACCTTCTGTGCCAGAGCCTGAATCTCAGCCAAAGTTCCAAGCTTACGACTCATCTCGACAATGATATGAGTTTGTGAGTTTACAGCGTGATGCATTCCATCCCTGAGCTCCGGGATTAGGCCAATATTCCTTGAAAGCTTTTTAATTGTCCGGTATGCCAACCAGCAGGAATCCCAGCACCAAAACAACGAATATCCAAACATCTTCAGAATCCTCTACAGACATTCGAGAGATGCAGCTCAAGTTCCACAGTTTCCAGGAGTCCATGATATGCCCAGCTGGCTCTGTCCCAGAGGGGCATCAAGGTGCTCCTTCTCCCATTCTCATCGTTGAAAAGATTGTGTCAATTGTGTTGAGAGTCCAACTGACCAGATCCATGTTTAATAATTTCAGTTACCTGAAAAAATACAGAGAAGCGCAGAGCACAGGCAGACAAGACAAGACAAGTGCTTGGGAGCAGCAGGGGAGGAGAGGGGAAAAAAGTGTCTGTACTCTCCAAGAGCCGGAAGAAGAAAAGGCACTTCAGAGAAATGAAAGTTAGTTCAGCACAGTTATTTAGTTCTAACCCAAATACCTTTTTTATTTAATGAACCAACAGAACCCAGTTGTAATGATTAGAACTTAACCAGAAAAATTTGTTCAGCACTACGTCACACTTCATTTAACTCATTCACTGCCATTGACGACTAAAGTCGTCATTTGCATTTCTTTACTGTGTGGGCATCGGAATGAGCCCCCACACCGTGAAAACAAACATCCCAGCTCTACAGCCGATCTTCATCCGCGTGCGTCACACGTCACGTGATGAGGAAGCAGAAAATCCATGTGTTAGGAGACCGTTTTGGGCCGCTGCTGTAAAAAAAGTGAGGTGTGAACCGGAAAAACTTCTGCCGATCACAATTTGACAATGGATTATGAAAGAATGGATAACGCTCGAAACTGATGTAAGAGGTGAGACTACCTACTACAACTACTTCTACAAGTAGAACATTGCTAAGCTGAGTCCCATTCTGTCCCGCTCTGAACTTGAGACTGTTCTCCACACCTTCATCTTCTCACGCTTAGACTATTGTAACTCTCTTTTCACGTGTCTGAGCAGAACCTCCCTGAACCGTCTACAGGTGGTTCAGAATGCCTGTGCTCGGCTTCTGACCAAGTCCTCCAAACACACACACATCACCCCGCTTCTCCTCCAGCTTCACTGGCTGCCAGTCAACTTCAGGGTTCATTTCAAGATCCTGGTTCTGGTCTATAGGGCCTTACATGGACAAGCACCATCTTACATTGGTGATCTTCTTAGTCTCTGCACCCCCAGCAGGTCCCTGAGGTCCAGAGACCAAAGCCTACTGGTTGTGCAGCACCAGGCTAAAGACCAAAGGTGACAGATCATTTGCTGCTGTGGCCCCCAGACTCTGGAACTCTCTCCCCCTGAGCCTGAGATCAGTGGACTCAGTGGTCTCCTTTAAAAAGCAGCTGAAGACTCACTTGTTCAAAGTGGCTTTTGTATGACCTTCTTCACCACTCTCTCTTTATTCTGCTCTCCCCACCTATTCCACCTTCCTCAGGACCCACTGAATTCCTGTTCACTCTCTCTCGCTTTCTTAACTTTTTTAAAATCACAATTGCCTATTTTTGCTCATTTTAATACATTTTTAAACATTTTCTAAATGCTTTTTTATATTTTTACGTTTTTTGTTTTTGTGAAGCACCTTTTGTTTTGGTAGTTTTGGCGTTGACATCATCATAGAGCACAACGTTCTGTGCTGGCAGCGAAGGGCTTTACTAATCAGGAAACGGTTGGCAGTTAATGAGTTAAAATGACCCAATAAAATAACCTAAAATGTAACTAAATATATTAGTTAAAGACAGATGTAAAGAAAAGTAAGTTAATTCTACCTATTTTATCTAATTAACAAATAGAACCCAATTATAATGAATAAAACGTACCCAAAAATCTTAGTTTGGCACTGAATTTAGTTATTAACAACTAGAACCTAATTATAATTAGTAGTATTTACCCAAAAATACTAGTTCAGCACTGCTGGATTACCAGATTTATTTAATTAACAAATTGAACAATTGTATTTGTTTATAGTCCCGTGCTGTACTGGCTTTCCAGCACTGGGCTGCCATCTCTCACGGATTGAGCGTGAGACACGCGCATTTGAACCTCTTTCCACGCTCTCACGTCACACTTCAAATATGCTGAAGAATCCCCCCCCCCCCCCCCCCCACACACACACACACCCACACACACACCCACACCCACACACACCTTCACAGTAAGCTTACGGAGGTGAAACGGTACCCCCACCGCCACTCTCACGGTTGGTGGACGGAAGAGAAGTATGAAAGTTCAGTTCAACTTTTGTAAACCAAAAATATGCTAGATTTGTATTACTTTTGGCTGAATAAATTTTTATTCATACACATGTTGATTTATACAGCAGTAGCTCAGAACATAGAGCAGGTGGTTCTGTAAGAAGAAGGTTGCAGGGACAATCCCAGCTGTGCCAGATGTAAGATAGTATGACTTTAACTAATGAATTTAATCAATATGTAAATTCCATTTTAAAGGTGCAGTATGTAAAACTATAGTGAGAATTTTACAGTGAGAAAATCCCAAAAGACTATAATGTAATTTTGGAAGGAAGGTTATACTGAAACATATTTCACATCCAGCTGGCTGTGGGGATTGTCGGTTCGTCTCATTTCAAAACAAAGGAAGGAGGGATGTAATTACTGTTTACCATCAGAGAGTGTGTGGGTGCCGAGTCTCCTGCGAGTTAATTCTGCCGCGCCGTAT